AGATTTTAACGCGTGTCCAATTCATCAAGGGGATTTTGCAGTGGAGCATCTGGATCTGGCCCTCTCCTCAGCAGTTTTGGGGTCACTGCATTGTGGAATTCCTCTTGCCAGATCTCCAGGGCGTACGGGAGGGAAGCAATTTCATTTCACGTTAGTTATGTCCTAACGCTTTAAAAGATTTCTGGGTGTCCAAGCTGTCAAATTAATATTTCAAATCCCACAAGCATTATAGACTTCATGTACATCATCACAATTACATGAAGAAATCCCATATTACCCAGAGGTCTTTTTTTAATGGTTCATTGCTCCTAAATTACATTGCATCAACAAAGAATTGACTAGAAGAAGCCCAAAAAGATATTATAAAGCAATTTTCACACCTTTACAATTTAGTTGGAATTTAAAAAGACAAAAAAGTTCTCACTGATACATCCCAGGCAGCTTTAAAATCTGTGAGGGTCTGGGTTAGGGGGTTTTTGTCCTACCTTCATTAGTGATTTATCTTGCCTTCTAAGATCCACCAAGTGCAGGTTACCAATGATCGGAAGAGGAGTTGGACCAGGAGGTAATTTGAAAGCTGAATTTTTATAGCCATTTGAAAAATAGACTACAGCTAATAATACTGTTGCACAGAGCAGACAAATTAATGTAGGATCAGATAGAAACGAAATTAAAAAAGACATTTTTTTAGTAATAATCTGTTTTTTGGGGGTTATAAGCAATAAAAATGCAGTGGCACTGTTCAGTTTCTGCCAGCTGGCTTTCTGTTTGCTCTCTGCGATTGCTACAAGCACTCGATTCTTATTAAGGTTTGTAGAGTACCTAAATAAATACTGCATACTCCACCCTCTTTAAACACCTCAGAGAATGTGGTCTAAGCAGTTTGCAAAGCCTGTCCAGAAGTAAAGAGAGTTTCAAATTACAAACCCATGCATGTGTGTGCAAGAACATATACATGGGAAAAGGTGCTTGGCATTCCTCTATAACCTCCTCCTCCCCGAGACCTCAAGGTCCTTCATTAGCAGTACTATGACCCTCCAAGCACTCTGCTGACACAAGGAAATATAAAGGTTTTTATGAATCCTATTAGAATGTCCAGATTCAGATTGAGATAGGATTTGAGATCTCTGTGTTACTAGAGAGAAAAAATAGTATTGTTATGGGAGACTTTGGCTTTCTTGATGTCAAGTGGAGATCAAAGGTTGTTAATAATGGTAAAGCCCATGTATCCCTGGGGGCTTGTAGCCCATAAATTTCTTCATAAAGTCAGCTCTGAACTGCCCAGAAGGGATGTGATTTCAGACTTTGTGTCTGAAGCAGAGGACATGTAATAGCTAGCCATGGAAAATTAGCTTGGATCAAGTGATCATGAGTGGATTCATGAGTGGAATGGAAAGACAAAATTAGATTTGAAGCTTCTGGGAGGACTCTTCATTTTGTAAGAGCAGCTTCTAAGAGATAGAGGGAAGATATTGGGGAAGTTAATGAAGCCAGCTGACCTGACAGGCTCCGGAAGGGGAACAAGACACGAGAATGGAATGATTTTAAGTCAAAGATGCTAAATACCTGGAGCTTGTATCCCTCATAAAGGTTTAAATCTTGTAGAGAATAATTGAAGTCTACCTGGTTGAATAGTGGTTTTCAGGAGGAAGTTGGAAATAAACAGCCAAAGGAATAAGATCGTTCGGGGAAGAATGAGCTCTCTTACATGATGAGGAAGCGCAAGGCTAAAGGTACATTTGTCCAAAGGTTAGACAATATAAAGGCCATTATTCAGCAAATATGGTCCCTCAGCCTTCCAAATGCAAAGAAGACGGGGAAGGAAGAGGACCTGATCCAGAGTGGGACATAGCTATGGTGAGTAGGGTCCCAGAGCAAACGGTGCTGTGTTGCACACTGGAGCTCTCTGTGTGGTGTGGAGATGTTACAGCACAACAGCCACCCAGAAGCAGAAGCAGCGAGTGTGTCACAACATTTCTGGGATTTATTTTTTTACTAGTTTCCAAGAAATGGGCTGGAGGCAACGGTTTCCCCCAGAGCATGCCTAGGATGACTCAACCCTGCCTGCTTCAGTGAGCGAAGAGGCAGAGGGGCTGTAAAGACAGGCAGGAAAGATCAGGCTGGCACAGGACACAGAACGTGGGCACTGTGATGAGAACTTGCACATGCTCTGCACTCTGGGCAAAATGCTTGTTCCTGCAGGGTTTTCTCTGATTGGAAGCACCCTGTAGTGCAAAAGCTACGTGTTGCTGGCGCTCTCCTGGTATTTCATCCTTGCCCTGGGAACCTCTGAAATCCTAAAAAGGTCTTTCAGAGACTTAAATTATGTCTGAAAAGCCAAGGGGAGTGTATTGTGGGTTTTTTTTCAAACCAGGCTCTGAGTGCAATGCATTAAAATGACAAAGGTAAGTAAAACTCTTGCGATGACAAGAAATTCCTGTCTCAATAATGTGTCTGGTACGTGTTTCGCTCCGGAGCCGCGCTGCTACGTGCTGCCCTGCCTGAGCACACAGAGCCGAGCATGGAACACCTGCCAGGCGCTGACACTGCTCCGGGTGCATTCCTGGGGCAGCCGGGCCCCTCGGGGTGCTCCTGGCCGGGTTGTCCTCCATCCCTTTTGCCCACGTGGCACTCTGCCACCCCATGTGAACCGGGTGGTGCTGGTGAGGACGTGGAGCACAGGGCATCGGCCTCCTGAAGTGCAACCACTGCACTGCCAGACAGCCAGCCTGGGGAGAGAGCCTGGGAGAGAGAAACACCAGCCCTACGTCCTTTAACTTAAATCCTCCCAGGTTTCTATGCCTCTCCTGCCAGTCCCATTCTTGACCAACAGTGCACCCAGGACTGCAGGCTCAGATAACTCCTGATGGCTTTTATTGTGATGAGTTCCTTGTAAGCAAGGGCAAGAGACACAGGGACCACTGTAAGGGGCCACATCATAAAGCCATGCAGAGCCACATCCTGACTCACACAGCAGTTGTGATTTTCTGGAATTAAAATTCAATTATTTCCTTTGAGCTGTTTGTGGTTATGAGTATTGCTCACTCTTTGTGTTGCCAAACATGTCCTGGCTGCATATGCTGCCCAAGGATCCCTGTGCTCACCTCTCTAGTGTGGGTGTAATAAAGGTGGTGCAGTCCAACTTTATCAGTTTGACCCAAAATCAACTTCATACTGTAACACCAGATAGATCAACAGAACAAAATATTTAATGATTAAGTGGGTGGTAAGGTCAGGCTTGCAGTAGTCAGACTGCAAATAGAGCAACAGCAAAACAAACGTATGCAAGCACAGCGGCGAAGGCTTCCTTGTTGCACAGCTTGCCCAGCAGACTCCTTGAGCTGTAACCAGGAGCTGGCCCTGTGGTACAGCACGTGTACAAGTGCAATACCAGTACAAGTACAAGGTACAGTATTAATGTTAGAGTGCTGCCTTTAGTTGTGTGAACTAAAGCTAGTGAGAAGGGTCAGTGTCTTGGCCAGAGGCCACCCTACTTTGTCATCCCTTCATATTCTTTCTCCTTTCTTTCCTTCCATTTGCAGCACAGGTCATCTTTAGGTGACAGCAACTTTAATTTTATGTTGTAGATTTGCTGTAACTCCCCCCTCAGTCTCTATAACTTTATTTCTCCCTTTTTTTGTTTTATCCTAACCTTCCTTTCTCACTTCTAAACCAACACAAAAGCATCTCTAGTGACTCACTTCTCCCTAACCCACGTGTGGTTTCCTGCCTGTTTCACAGCACACAAAGCAGCCTCCTCTCTTGTACCTGCACCCCCATTCAGATTTCACTCATGTATCATCCTTCCCTCAATGAGTGTAGCCTTGTAGGTACAGCAACTTCTTCCTACTCCTAAGGGATGCTACATGAAATAAATCATCAATTGTAGTGATCAAACAGCTGCTCTAGGACAGCCACAGTCTCTGGGGTGTCCCCAGCTTTCCATAGAGATCCCCATACAACAAGTTAATGGCACAGGTAACCAAGTTGGTTACAAAGTCTAACCTGCTTCTCCTTCCAGACTCTATTATTAGTTCTACATCTGTTTTCACAAGGACAAGAGGAGAAGAGGGCTGAGCCTCTCCCAGCTCTCTGATGGAGCGTGGCAGTCCTGCTGCCCAGCCCCAGTCTGCATCGCCCTCCCACTGCCATGGACTTGTCACTTTAGCCACACTGATTCAGAAACTCTTCACTTGCCATGGCTGGTCATTTTCTGACAGTTTAGGGATCTATGATGGCCCAGTAAGGGATTGGACAAGTGCCAGAGCCAGGATGAAGCCAGGAGAGGTGAGGGAGTGGTAGAAATTCCTTTCTTAGCAGCAGCAGAAAGCTGCTAAATTGGCCCCATCATAAATAGGCTGTTCAGCATGAAGTGCCTGGTGTGAGTTGGAATGAACCCACTTCCCAAACCACTTAGATGTTTTCGATAACTGTCCTGTGCCTGGGTCTTGGCATCAGCCCACGTTACACCCTCATGTCTGGGACTCTGTAATAAAGATAAGGCAGGTTGTATGGCACAATGGAAGCTCAGTCTGAGGCTCAGCTGAACAACCGTCCTGAGGAGATTTCCAGATCCATTAAGTGTCTGTTGTTTCCAGCTGGGCCATCAGTAATTAGCTCTGCTGTAGAGCTTGGACTTTGGGCTGAGAAATTCCCCTTGGAGGCTGGCAGGGGAGAGCCTCTGATGGGTTATATCTATAGAGGAGGCTTGAAGGCATTTCATTCTTTCAAACAGTCCTGAAAACAGCATCTCTGGTGTGCTGTTCCAGGAATGAATCACACTGCTTCTGAGAGCAGTATTCAGGGCTGTCTGAAGGGTTTGCATTAGAGATACCACAAGAACTGTTGGAGGGAATAGCATGAATGAGAAAAATAGCAGTGCCTGGTGTCTTCCTTGCCCTAAAGCTCAGGTACAGATGGCTTTTCCCCCCTGTAACTAAACTTGCTTTCAAGCTCGAAGTGTTCACTACTCTACTGCCATGTTGTTTGATCATTCACAGGGCACAGCACAAACCAGGTGAGGCATGGGGTTCAAGGTAAAGCCGACATCAGCAGTCAGATCCAGGTCTGACTTATCCACTCCTGGAGGGGGACGAAAAACAAATTTGCGGAGCAAGCCCCCAAAAAAGAGGAACAGCTCCATTTTGGCCAGTCCTTCACCAAGGCAAGCCCTTCGTCCTGAAAACAACCAGGAGAGAAGTTAATGATCAGCACTGTAACTGTTAGTGTTGATCTCTGAGACCTAAACTGGAGATACAGTCTGTAAGAGCAGACTGCTGAGGTAGGAAATTTTCCCTTCCTTCTCTTTGTGTATTGAAGGTGCTACTGACTTAAGCTACACAGAGGGCTGTAGGTATATGAAATTATTCAGTGACTGTGAGCAAATCAGTGTCTCCCAGATCTCCTAGAGAACAGGTAGTTACCAACAGCAATGGTGGACAGAAAAAAATGACTAGAAATCCCTCATCTTCTATTCTGTATCCCTGGCTTTCATACTTTCCTGAGTCTGGGGGAACTGCCGTTAGCCTAGCCCCAGGTGATACATACACACAACCCCCTCTCACCTACGGAAAATGGAATAAATGCTTCTCTCCTAATGAAGTTCCCGTTGGCATCCAGGAAATGGGAAGGGTTGAACTGATCTGGGGTTTTCCAGTGTAACTCATCATTCAGAGCAGAGGTCAGCAGTGGAATAATCTCAGTACCCTGAAAGGGATCAAAGAAACACATGGAAGAGGAGATCACTGTCCTAGTTGAGCAAGACTGCTTTCTTGTTTCTAATGTGAAGAGGCAAGTAAGATTGAGCCATGACAAACAGAACTGGGGATGCTTCCCTGCCCCATTGTGGTTCTGCCTGTTATCAGTAGCTGCTGTTTTATTTTTTGGACCACAAAACATTCCTTTCTTACAGAGTCAGATCTTTCAAGAAAGATGCTGAAGTAGACGCTCCACATTTGACATAAAAGATTCAAACCAGTGCGATTTAATTATGGTTATTCAAGATTCAAACAGCTGTAACAGACCACAGTCCATTGTATGCTGCAAGTTTTCCTGGATCCAAGACAAAGGGTCACATGAAAACATGTATCATGGTGACTTTAATTATTTGTATTTTTCTTTGTGTGCTTTAAAGAAAAGTGTAAGGAATCTGTACAGCATAAGCTGCTGTCTTCAAAGCTCACCTTAGGAATCACATAGCCTCGGAAACTCACATCTCTGGGAGTTGATCGTGATACACCCATAGGGACAATATTGGCAAACCTTTGTATTTCATGTATCACTGCTTCTGTATAAGGCATTTTTTTCCGGTCCTCCAACTTAGGCAGCTCTCCTGGTTCAATGACACGGTTCATTTCTTCCTGAATCTTTCCTTGGAGGGAGGAAAGGATTAAGAAGCTGATAACAATCTTACCTTGCAACTGAAATGACTTCCAGTTTGGCAAAGATGAAGAAAAGGGAAAACTGTGATTATTTGGGAAGAGCAGAAGTGGGTAAGCCGGGGCATGGTATGGCTCTTTCAGGTTTGTAGTTGAGCCAAGGGAACTTGAACAGAGTCACTACAGTCCATCCCATGCCTGATTCTGACTACACACCTTTGTTACCCCATAACCTTCCACAGAAACCAGATCAGAATCAGCTCCTGAGGAGACCTTTAGTGACGTAAGCCCATAGCCTGCAGGCGAATAATCACAGGGGAGCTTTACTGTAACTGTAGACTGCCCCTCAGCCTCTCCCACTTGGCTGGGCTGGTTTATTGCAATCCAGCTGAAAAAAATTCCTTTACAAAGTCAACGGTTGTTATCACTCTCAGAGCACTCAGAATCATTACTTTAGGTAGCACTGAATGAGTTCCACTCCCTTCCACAACCAAAGCCTTAAGCATACAACAAGGAATTGTAGAAGAGACTTGTCAGCCTTACTCTGAATTTCTGGGTATTTCATCATCAGAAGGAGCCCCCAGCGCACAGTTGTAGATGTAGTTTCAGTCCCAGCAGCAAAGAGGTCCAAGGTTGAAAACATCAGGTTTCCATTGTCGAACATAGTGTGGGGTTTCTTTGACTCCTTCAAAACATTTAGGTAATGGCCATAAGTTCTACAGCAAGTGACACCTATATGTGACTGTGTTGCCACCATTTTTATCTGCATTTTAGGTCTCTGTGACTCTAAATGTGCTGGAAAACTAAACATTTAGCATTTTAACAATACGGCCTGTGCTGTGTGGAATTTGTCTGGTCCCAAGCATATGGGCAATACCCAGCTCTAGATATTAGTTGGAATTTATTTATTGCAATGCGCTTTATAACTGTACCGTTCTTGCAGGAAGGTTTGGGATGATCTCCTCTTTATGTGTGCTGAGTGGTAACTTATGTCACACACATGGGACATCATGACAACCTTTTAACCAGCAGTTTCAGTGGAGCCACGGAGTAAGTCCAGCACAGCTCACTGTGAGTATAAGGTTTGATATATCCTGCTCACTGCAGTCCTTCTGTCTCCAAATGCTCCCAGTCCCTGACAGATGGCCAGTCCTAAGAATAAGTCATAGCTAAGAGAAGAAAAAGACTCTCAGACTCAGCTTTAAAGTACCTGTTGTTGCTTTACCAGAAAGGCATCAACAAAGCCTGTTAAGTCATTTTCATTAAGCTCCTCTTTGTGTTGCTGGAAGAGCTTCTGGAGGAAAGCGTTCAATTCACTGATATTTTGTAGCACAGTCTTGGAAGCTCCAGAGAGAAATCCAAGGTGTGGGTAGAAATTATATAACTGTGGAGCAAGAGAATTCTTACTGTTAATTGAAATTTTGAACACATATTGGTATCTCAAATCACACTGCTTGCCCTTTGTCCCATGCCCTGACATTTCAGGCTGTAATTCCCCCACATTCACATGTACTGTCTAAGCAGCAATGGATTCCTGCAGAAGCAGAGTGTTCTGTTCTGTTATGCCTCTGCATGAGTCCTTGCCATGACTTTTGGGAGATTCACCAGCTTAAATCTTCTTTCAGGGCTTCCAGCTGTGTAGATGGTGGGACAGAGGGTTTCAGATGTGAAAGATTGGAATGAGAGCATTGTACTTATTCCAGGGAAGGTCCCCAGGTGTGCCACACCCCTATGGCAGCAGAAGGGACTTGAACTGGCCACCTTCACAGACAGACAACATTGCTCTGACCTGTGCTTGAGTGGTGCTTTTTGGGCTTAGCTAGTCTGGGGTTACAGACAGACACAGACCCCAGTGTGGCTCACTCCACTGGTGGTCAAAGCAGAAGCTTTGTGTCAGGAAGGAACAGGTTTATATCAGGCTGTTAGCCTGCTAAGGTTGAACTTCAGTGGCCAAAATAAAAGAAAAAGAAGTTTGTCAAACTTGGTAGTAGGGGAAGCAGAACTAAGAGAGTTACTGAATGTGGAATACAAGGAGGCAGGTTTGAGATTGTGCTTCTGCTCTTCAAAGAGGGTAAAGTTGTTCCTTTTGTGAAGACTTTGGTGTTTTTTTCTTCTACTAATAAGCTTCACTGACTAAGCACAGGGGCCTGGGAATCTATGTGTTTCACATACAGAACCACAGATGTGTTCTGTACAGGCTGGCTGGCTGATAATGTTCTTGTTTTCAAGAAGCAAGTTGTGGGAGGCCAGGAGAACAAATATGGACAACTTGATATCCCCAAAAAATCGGAAAGGTAAAACATAAAATAGAGCTCTTACCAGCACCATAGGGGAGCCCAACAGCTTAGCATTTTGATTTATCAGCTCCAGCAATGTTAGAAACACAGGATCATCATATTCAAACCTCTCTCCGAACAATATCGAGCAGATGACATTGGATACAGCACTGTTGAGTATCATTTTTGTATCGAATGGTTTCCCTGTGTTTCAAGCAATTGAAAGAAAGGACATTGTGCTTTTTTTGGTCTGATTTCCTATAGAAATATAGTCCTGAGCTCCCAAAGAAAACTCATTCCCCACCCAGAATGCATAGCAAGGAACTTAGTTTCAGTGTTTTAAGGCCTCGGTTCAATAACCTACTGCAGCATATGCTGAACTTTAACCACGAGATACCATTTGCTCAGAGTTAAACTTTCATTAATTTTTATTGTTCTGCTAGACCTGTTTTCTGTCTCTGGAAGAAAGACTTGACACTCACCATGATAGGATTCAAAATATTTGATAAGGGAATTTACTTCCTCCAGGATTCGGATCTCCAGGGTTCTCTTTCCCATTCCGAAATCCCGCAGTGTGGACAAGGTAAATCTTCTCATAGTTTTCCATAGCTCTCCGTGGCTGAATGCTATGCCTAAAATAAAGATGTAACATCCTATGTCACCTGTTGTTCATAAGCATTTTAAGGCTTTCTTACACACTGGTACCTCTCTCAGATCACAAAAATGGATCTGTAAGATGGTGATACCCTCTGCTGTAAGAAGGTACTGAAAAAACTACAAAACCTACCCAATCAAAAGGTCAATTACCATTTCCTTGTGTCATTTTCCTAAATATGGGTATTTCTGCCCTCTCTCCAAATTCTTCAGCATGATTTAAAAGGGCATCCTTGATGGTTTCATATCCAGCCAGTACCACGGCTTTCCTGGGTCCAAAATGCACGGTGAAGACATTGCCATATGTCTTGGATAGCTGACAAGGTGAATAAATATGTTCATTCAAAACCAGATCTGGACTCAAACACTAGTACCAGCCACCCTAGGTGGATTTTAGACCAAAAGGAGCCTCCTAGCCCTGCCTGAAGTCTCCAGGTGCTGCTGTAATTCAAGTAATGAGCAAGAGCTATCGATTGCCAGCATCTCAGCTTGCACCCTGTTTGCACAACAAGGTGTCTGCTATCACTGCTCCTATCAGAGGAGTCAATAAAATGCCATTGCATTCCTGTGGTGTTCTGTAGTAACAGGCCAGTGCAGTGATACCACACTGGGAGGCTGTTTGGAGAATGCTGTGGCAGGCAGGCCTGTTTATTGTAATGCTGTTGACCTGAGGCAAGTGGGCGTGCACACACCTTTGAGGCTGAAGCCACAAACACTGCAAAAACAAAGCTAGACAATAACTCTTTCTTTCAGGACAGCACTTGTCTCCAATTATGGCAAGGTGCATAGCGTTGCAGTCATTGCAAAATTATTTGCTGGCCACCAGAAACTAGGAAGCCTGTTCTTGTAGATAATGTCACAGGAGCACTAGGCTTTTACAGCAAATTAAATATGGATCATCTGCTGCACAGAAAGGTAGCTTTGACAAGCTAATCATTCACTTGGTATTTTAGACTTCGTTTAAACACACTTCAAGCCACCAGCTCCAAATGTCTTCTTGTTTCTGATGTGCCTGGGTTACCATTTGCTATGCATTAGATACATTCCACAAATTGAATTTCAGATTAGAAGCAGCTCCTGTTATTACACCAGACAAATTGAATTTGTTTTCATCAAATGGTGGTTTGACGGCTTGGGAGATAACATTAGCACTGGTTCTTTCATCCCTGGCAGCTCACAGAGTGAGCAGAGCCAGGGGCAGGGAATCACAGCTGCCTCCGAGCCTTCCTTTGGTCATTTCTTTGCATTAGTGCTTCTTGGCATCCACTTTGTTTTTACTCAGAAACACAAGTATTGAATGTGGAAGGCCTGAAAGCCTAAATAAAGCTGCTTAGTAGATTACAGGAAACGAGTCTGGTGCCATCACATGGCATTTGTATTATAAAATCCCCCAGTACTGCCAAAAATAGTTGCTCTTTCATACTGGCATCCTCAAACATGCCTAGGATCAGAAGGGTGCTCAGGACCAGAAGCCCATCACAATCTCTGGTCTCTGCACTGTAAATCAGGGCAGATGAGCACTGCATGCCTGCTACAGGAATTCCATTCTTTTTCAGCCCAGAATGTCCTTTTTTCTACAATGAACTGGAGGATTTCAGTGTCTGCACTGCCCTCTCACTGCAGATGTTCAAGTGGCTGAAGGAGTGCACTGTGGACTGTCTTTCCTCCATCAGAGTGTCCAGTAAGCACACACAGGGCGTGTGACAGGTCACTCACAGCACCTCAACTGTCTCTACAGCAACCAGATGATATCTGAATTCACACTGACTTGTCCCCACCTCCCATGGGAACACAGCAGACACTTTCAGAAACAAACATTGCCCCTGGCTTTAAAATATTTAAGGGTTTTTTTTCTTTCTTTTAAAAATAAAAGTATCCATGGAACTGTGTAAGAAAAACCAAATTTTTTAGCTAGACATATAAAAGCCACGTATCAAGTCCTTAATAACCCTGGCCAGTGTGTGTGTGCAGGGGAATGGCTGGGGAGGCAGAGTTGTGCTTTGCATTGCAGGGATATAATTAGCTTTGGAAATGTGTGCATAGGACCCCCTTCCCTCTGCTGTGGGGATGATACCCTTTCTTCCTTCCTTCCTTCCTTCCTTCCTTCCATCCATCCATCCATCCTTCCTAGAGGTCTGGCTGCAGTGAGACATCTCTTGATGGCAAATAGTACTGATCTGTCGGCAACTGGCCCAAATTGAGTCTTCTGCCTGCAGCCTCTGAAGGGCTTGAAACATCAACAATATGGAGCTGATTCCAAGGGATGGGGATCTACACTGAAGTGCATAAAAAGAAAGGAGTGTATGTATTATATTTATACATATAAATACATGTCTGTGTGTGCACACCTCCGAAGGTAAAGTCATTCTGCCAGTCGGCCTATATGCCAAATATCTCATTTCTGCCCTCTGTGCAAAGCAAACACAATTGCATCTCCATTTCTCTAGTTGCATTTCTCACTTTGGGAATTGCACATTTTCCCCCTCTCTCCTCATCCAGCCCCTACCTCTGTCAGCGACTGGAACGGCTTTTTCAGGTCCACCACGTTCAAGTTTCCGATCAGAGGAAGAGGCCGTGGCCCAGGAGGCAAACTGCAAACCGACTTCTTCGAGCTGGTGAGAAAGTAAAGGAGGGCAAACAGCCCTGCTGCCAAACAGAGCAGCGAGCTGGAGCCCACGTACTGCAGGAAACTCTGCATGGCCATGTCCAAATCCAAGTGTGGGCATGAGCGTCTTGGGGTCCCTTTATAGACCTTCTGTCATTTCCTGAACACACCTTCTGGGGAAGTGGCTTTGTGCAGAGAAAAGGACTCTGTGGTCTTGTTAACATCCATTTAGACCAGATGTACTTCATTATGCTGACAAATAAACCACCCTGTTTTATTCTGAACCATGGATTATCATAATCAGGAGTTCCTATTTCATCTATAACACTGGGAAAAGGTGTTTGTTTTCCAGTGAAAATCTGTGTTATGGGCATGTTGTTCTCTGCATTATTTCAGGGGCAGAACTCAAGAACAGGACCCAAGCTGGATTGCTGCCATGATGCCAGGTCACAGGGCTCAGCTGGACCACTGGTGATGCAATGGAGGAAGCAGGACACAGGAAAGCCCACAATAACACATGGCCCAGGGTGCAGCTGGCAAGTAAGCCCTCAGGAAAGACAAGACTGACCATGGAGGAGTTGGAACGGTGGTTGCATAAAGATGTGCTAATTCAGGATTGCCAATGGGAGTAGATCTATTTACAAGTGACAGCTTTGATTCTCTTTGCTTTCCTGCCACCCCAGTGAAACCACCTCCTTGAGCAACACAGTGTTTTCATTGCTAGCACTGTTATTGATCTTTGTCCCAAAAATTCTCTCCCAGCAATCCCAAACCGCTCCTGAAACCACTTCAGTCATTATTTTGCAGTTTACTGTCCAGAGGACTGGGTGTCCATGTCTGGCTCTGTGTTTGGTGATGACTCTTTCTGTTTATGGGCAGATGCTTGTAATCCTCTAGGAGAAACCGTCCCCTCCAGGCAATCCTTCTGCCTAGATTGGAAAAGAGATCCTGAACCTTTGTAATCTGGGAGGAGCCAGGATCAGAGTGCAGCTGGCCAGGCAGAGGATGGAGGCTGCCTGGGCAGCTGTTGTAGAGGGGGTGCCAGGCAGGAGCAGCAGTTTTTTGGCCCTCCAGGTGCACTGAGTCATGTACCATGCCAGGGCAGGGGCCTGCAAGAGCCTGCGTGCCCGGGAGACAGCTCCCCAAGAGCCACCTACACCCTCTGCATCCTGGAGGGATGACAACAAAGCTGAAGTGATCATGAACAGTAGGCCTCTGTTGAAATGTTAACTCTGGGGGAAAGAGTCAATTTGATGCTCTATCACATATTCTCAAGTGGGGATATTTTGTTCCCCAGTTGCAGATTCTGTCAGATTACTGGGCTGGGCTGCTGTTCACCCCTTTAGAAATCTTTAGCTTTAATAATACTTTTGATAGAATTCTCCAAGGCTCCCGGGTGCAGGCTCCACTGATGGAAAAATGATGATTATTTATTAATAATAATAAAAGTACATTAGCCGAAGGCAAGGGGAATCAATAAACTCTAACTAAATTGACATGAAAAAGGTGCCTGCACATCTGCCTGCTCTCCAAGGCTTGTTATCAGGAGTGGAGTTTTTCACAAGGGGGAACTTTCCTGTGCAGGGTGGGCAAAGAAAAGAGGGCAATGGATGGTCATGTCAGTCTCAAGATTTGCTGCAAAACTATGAGGTCTTTTTCTGCACTCTCTTCTCCCAGACATTTCCAAGAATATCAGATTCTTCTCTGAGAAAATGGTGTGACCACTGGGACTCCTGACACTCTGTAATACACAGTAAGAGGGAGGAAAAAACCCTACATGGGGCCAGTTGGGTACCAGTGGAGGAAATCTGTTGTTTCTGTTTACATACAGGTCTGTTGGAATGGAGCTGGCTGCTGCCATAGCAAGCAAGAGCACCTTCCCAAGGGCTTCCAATCTGTTTCAAGCTTCAGGTTGTACCTGGTGACAATATAGGGTGAAACCCTTTCTCAAATAGTGAGCCCATAGACTTGCAACCCGCTGGGCTGGTGTATGCACTGTGGGAAATAATGGAGGAGCTCTCCAGCGGGAGGGAATGATTGCAGTCTTAAAATACAGCCAATGTGATGCCTTCACCTCCACTTCTTCCTCATGTACCTTGGTTTCCAGTATGCAATTCCAAACACAGCCTACAACTGAGTTGCTGGCTTGCAGGTGAGGCATCCCACACAGGACTGGGGAGAAAACGTTACTCCCTGCTCACGTGTCTTTGTCTTTCTACCAGCCCAAGCCAGAACTGATACCATCTTAAGGTAAGCAGACCTTGTGGGCACAGCTCAGTTCCTCCTAGAAAATGAGCCTGTACATTAAACAGCCACAGTAATTTCTGTGTGCTCATCTGGAGAAGGTCATATCATCTTCTAATGGGACACAGGTTAACAATGCTACAGTAACTGTAGGATAATGCAGGGAAAGAGTTGTTATAAGGCCATAATTCAGTCAATGACTGCTGATAACATAATAAACCATGAGAGTGAACACCAAGTGCTTGTGTGCCTTGCAAGGCTCTGCCACTGATTTACAGCCTCTGGAGATGCCTATCAGCCCGTGCATTGTTATCAGGAATATATAAAGCCTGAGCACACCCTATTAAACATTAACATTTTTAAAGACCCAGATGTGTTAAAACTCGGGCTGCTCCTTGCTAATGGATTTTGCTTGCCCTGACAAATGCCACTGCAAAAAGAAATCAAAAGCTTCCCGACTTTGACCTCTTTCAATTTTTCATCATTATGGCATTGTTTTATTGGATTACACCCACTTCTTCCCACCCTGCCAATCTGTATTTCTGCAGGATCACTACAGGGTGGTGATCAGTATCTCAAGTGTTCAGTGTGCTCATTTTCATACAAATAACTTGTTAGTTTCTTTTCAGTTATCTGTCAAATCAGTGTGGGCTGCAAATCTACTTTGAGAAGAAAGACTCCTGGAAAAATATTTTTAAAAATCGTTATTTCACTGCAAAAAAATTTTTAAAGACTCATGGGGCTTTTTATACATATTCTGAGCTGAAAGAATTTATGTGATGGGTCTGGTCACTGGGGGAAGAAAATAAAAAAATCTATGCGTGGGATTAGTGCATTGTCCCTGTGCAGAGCCTAAGGTGACAGTATTTTCCACTCCTGTTAAGCATTTACCATTCTTGGGAACTTTGGTGCTTTTAAAAGCCTTCTTCTTGTACTGAATGGATGCCATTCCTTCCTTAGTCTCATTCAGTGAGAAAATACATGGGAGATCCTCGGGTTTGGTGTTGGTAATGTTACTTTTCAATATGCATATCTACAAAAACATTTGCAGTAAAGTCCCTTGTGACCATAGCCAGAACCATGTTCTTCCAGATCTCACATTTACACCAAGTCATGGCAGCCTGACCTGGGAAGTCAGAAATCAAATCAAATGCCTTGTCATAACTCCAAGGATTTTTTGTTCGGGGTCTCTAGCCTCAGTCTATCTCAACGGAGAGTATTGCAGAAATTGTATTAATCCAAGAGAAATTTGGGACATATCATGAAGGGTGATTAGGAGGTAGGTATCTACAGAGCCAACATCTTACTCTTGGGCCCCTGTCTGGATGCAGGTAGAGATGTGGATTTAGATATACCAGAATTGCAACTAGCAGTGTAAGATAAAGGTTTGCTTTGCATCTCAGTGCAGCATTACTATTTCTACAACATTCCTCTCTAACCTGATGAGGCTTTGGCTCAGTAATAACAGAAAATGAGCTATCACTCTGTACATCTTTGCAGAGCACATAACATATTAAGGCTCTGACCTCAACGGCATGAAACTACAATTTCCCTGTAAGTGCTAAACAATAATACTTCATTAATCATCCACAACAAAAATCCCCATTCCCCAGACTATTCTGGCAATATTCTGCATTTTTGCTTGTCTAGGAACCTGAATTAAAAGGGAGAAAAATGGTTTACAACAGCCTGTGGCAGTGATGTAGCAAGAGACCTTATGTAAGAGCTGGCGGCATGCTCGCCTTGCAAGGGTGAGGTGTAGGAATGAGTGATCCTGGAAGGATGTTTCTCTGAGGTGTGTTCTGTGCCTGGGCTGGGAACAGCAGTCTCAAGGGCACAAATTCCAGCATCTGAATGTGCTTGGTCTTGTTCATCTCATTAATTTCTTACAGCTACCCCAAGTGAAGCTACGAAATCCCCGAGTACTTTACTCAAAGCCTTTCATGGCTTGTCAATAAATTATTTTCAAATTAACTACCTGATAATTTGAATCTTCAGGCTTTTAAAAGATGCAGCGTGGTGCAAGAGAGAAAATAATGGAAGTCACCAACTTTACCCTGCCCATAAAAAAGAATAAAGGTTCTCTGACGTATTATTCAGTTTGGTGCTTCTGAAAAGTAGTGGTAAGTGTGTAATAACTTCTGAAGAGACATTTGTACAACTGACAAATAAACCTCAGTAGTGGAATAAGTTTTCAGCACTAACTGACAACATTGTAAAAGAGCAAACAGTTTTTAAATGTTACTTTAGTCCATATTTAATGAATCTTTAGTCCCTAATTAATGACTAACAGCACTGATTCAAGCAAAGGATTTTTTTTTTTAAATCTATCAACCTCTGTACCTTGAAAGAGGAAGATCCAAGATATTCCCTACTTTTGGAAGCCTTCTAATTTGAGCCTTCTAATTTTTGGAAAGGGCTCAGGACTCTAGACTAGAGATTCCGTGAAACACTGCATGCTTTACAAATTATCTGATTTCTCTTGTAAAATGGGTACTTTTATATTGAAGCAGCTATTTCAGATTTCCCTGATGCTGTCAAAGTCTCTCACTTCTTTGAAAGATAATATGGAAAAAACATTTAATTCTCTGTTTATGGCATTGCTTTGTTTTTTATTGAATTTCTTTGGAATTGGTTGGCTTAATCTGCAAATGAGATTTTTTTTCTTCACACTGATTATCTAACAGGGGTTTCATTTGATCTCCTTGGGAAAAATACATCCTTAACTGCAAAAGCACGTGTACTAGGTTGTATGACAGCATGTACCTTTAAAGGAAACTCTAGAAGATACAACTGGCATTTGCAATAAAAACATTAAGTAACCATAACCAAACACCTGCTACTATACCTGATCTGAAGGCAGGTAACTACAAAATTTAAGGCTCCAAAGACAGACAGTTAATAAATAGGTTATAAAAATATTTGGATATAATAAAATATATCAACTTGATATAGCCTTTGCCTAGAATCATGGAATTGTTTAGGTTGGAAAAGACCTTTAAGATCATTGAGACCAACTGTTCCCCCAGCACTGCCAAAGCCACCACTAAACCATGTCTCTCATCAGAACATCTACATCTTTTAAATCCCTCCGGGGGACGCTGGCTCCAACCACTGCCCTGGGCAGCCTGTTCCAAGGCTTCACAACCCTTTTGAGGAAGAAATTTTTCTTAATATGTACACTCCCACCCAACTGGGTGTCATCTACAAGCTTACTGAGGGTGCACCCAATCCTCTCATCCAGATTGTTGATAAAGATATTGAACAGAACTGGAATGGATTGTCACTGTCTGTCTGGGAATAATTCTGCTGTGAGATTCCTGTGTATCTTTTTCCTTTGACTTCTTCCTTCATCACATGGGGAACCAGCAAGTCCAGAAAGTGAGGAACATAATTTGGGCAGTTTGCTAAAATCAAGTGCCTTGACACTTCAGCTAAATTTGTCCAGATGAACCAAAGCTGCTTCTCTGCTCCTCAGTCCTCTGAGATCTGGGAGACAGTTTGCTGCATGTATTTATGAAAGAGGAGTATCTCGCTTTTACCACCAAGTGTTGTAATGAAGTCAAGTGGAAAAGTGCCATTTGCCGTATAATAAAAACCCTCCATTGTTCATAGCACTGAACACCTAATAATAAAACCTTAAATTTCAGGCTGTTTAAACCAGTTACTTATGTAATAGAACACGGTGTAATTTTCCATTTAGAATTTCAATACTGTAATAAGAAAGCAATCAAGGCATAAACAAAACACACTTTAAATAGAGCTGCAGGTAGTATTTCCATAATGACTGTCCTTAAAAATTGAAGCTATTTCTCTTTTTTTTTCCCCAGCCTCGAATTCTTTCTACTTAGCTCAGTCATTTAATTAAAAGAAAAATCAACTTAAAACAGATGAAAGACTGTCTGAAACCAATTGCAGCTATTAGCAAAGAAGAAAAAATACTACTGTAATCCACTGTTAACACTTGGGTAGGTTAAATTAAAGCCATTTCTCATCCTCCTTTCAGGAGGAGATTGTGGATCTGCAGAGCATGTGCTGTAAACCTGCAGGCAATAGGGGTGTTTTTCTTGATTATCCATCTTGAGGATCTGGAAGTTCACCGTTTCCCAAGCATCTGCCAAAAACTGCTTGGTTTTACCAGCCTCATCAGCATTCATGCCATGTGATGAGAACCCTCCTGCTCACCCATCCTTTGTAGGAGGCATAAAATAACTCAGTGCTGTCCATCAGGTTTGTGCACGGCATTAAACCATGGGGATTAATGAGGGATAAGCAACCATGTTATTACCACCACGGACAGCTGATGGAAGAGTTCATGTCATTGCAGCAGGATGGGGATGGCTCCTCCAAAATCCTGCTGGGTTGCTGAGGGAAGTTCATACTGCCTCCCTGCAAGCGTTATCCCCAGGGCTCTGGGATGACACCAGCCAGGGCTGGGTCCTGAAAAATGTGCTTTTAAGTCAAGACTCAGCACTCTCAGAAGTGGCAGGTGAGGAACTTGTTCTTCATGGCAGAGGGGAAGGAGGAGCCCGGCCTCAGCCTGGTCCCTGGATAGAAATGGGAGAGACTCGCTAGGGCTGGATCCTGTATGAAGCCGTTTGCTGACACCAGGATCCAAGTTTGGCTCTTTCCCCCTCCATTTCCAGCTGAACAAGTGCCAGAGACAGACCATTTTTCCAGGCCCCTTCGCAGACAGGAGGCCGGTGGCCATCGCTCTCACCCACCCATTCACAGAACCATGGAATCACAGGATATCCCGTGTTGGAACGGACCCACAATGATCATCAAAGTCCAACTCCTGGCCCTGCCCAGGACAACCCCAAGAATCATTCGGAGCGTTCAGAGAGGAATGCGGACAAAACCACGGGTTTTTATGAGGAGGAATCGGTTTATTTCGCAGAAGCTGATGAAGCCCTGAACGCAGGGATGCGAAGTCCCCCGGCCCGACCCTCCCGTTGGGGCCCAGCCCAACATGGCGGGCGGCGTCGGCGGCGTCTCCATGGCGACCCGCCCATCGCTGCGGTTGCCATGGCCACGGGGACGCCGCGACCATGGCGGGCGGCCCCGCCCCGGTCACGTGGCCGCTCGATGCGCTCGGCGCGCGGCTCCCCCCGGCGGCGGGACGGACCGACGGACCGGGGCAGGGACCGAGGGACCTCAGGACCGTCCGTGCCCACCCCGCACCCAACACCGGCGACATGTCCACCGCCATGAACTTCAGCGCCAAGAGCTTCACGCCGCGGCCGCCGGACAAGGGCGCCTTCCCGCTGGATCACTTCGGTGCGGTACCGCGGCCGGGCGGCCCCGCGCCGGGCCTGCCTCCCCCCGCCCGTGCCGCGGGCCCGGTGGGTATCACGGCCCCGGTGGGTATCACGGCCCCTCGCTGTGTGTTACAGGGGAGTGCAGCGCCTTCAAGGAGCAGTTCATGGAGTGTCTCCGGCACAGCGGCTACGAGAGCGCGGCCTGCCGGCAGCGCGCCATGGCCTACCTGGAGTGCCGCATGGACAGGCGAGTGTGCCCCCGACACCGGCCCTGCCCCACCCCGGCCGTCCCCGGGACACGCTGGGGACCTGGCGGCCAGCCCGGTGGTCCCCGGGGCGGGGATCCCTTTGCGGGCACGGGAGGGGAGGGCAGCCCGCAGTCACACAGGAAGGTGTCCTTGAAGGTGCCCCGTGTGGCATCAGCATCACTTGGCTCGTGTTTCCCTGTTATCCAGCCCGTGCGGTGGGATAACAGCGGCACTCGGGCAGCTTCCATCCCGCACAACCGCATTTCTCGATGTGAAGCTTATTTTTTTTCCCAGCTGGTTACAGGTTAAACTTTTAACTTGCACGTGCTTTGCTCACCTCCTGCCTGGCCTTCCTAATCAGCTCTGAGTATGTCTTTAGGACCCCCAACAGGTATTTGTATAACTTAACCATGAATTATCAGAGCCAGTGGTATTTCTTTGTGTATACTAATGCAACTGAGTCTTAATTAATGCTGAGTTCAAAATACATCCTCGTATAATTCAATTATGTAATATATATTCCCATATAATATACATATATTCAAGCATATAATACATATTCAAGTATATAATACATATTCAAGTATATAATACATTTTCAAGTATATAATACATTTTCAAGTATATAATATATTTTCCTATATAATACATCCTAGTATAATTCAGGTATAGTTCAAGCAGAAGTACTTTGGCCTGTTAGCCCCTTAGAAATATGTTTCAAGCAGGCAAGTTAAAAGTTGAACTTGTTCCTCAGGTCAAGTGAAAAAAGTGTTGATGTTTGGTTTTCCAGGGATGTTTCCATTCGTGCATTGCTTTGCAATGCTTCCTGAACAACTGTGAGTCAGGGAACTCTGGGAAGTAAACGAATTTCTCTGTATTTAAGGAAAATAGACTTTCATGGGCTGGTGTCAAGGAGGGCTGCAAATCAAAAACTTGTTTGAAAATCACTGCAGCAAAGGGTAATTAAAAGTGGTAATTCACTGTCATAAATGGCACAGGTAAAATTTTAGAAAGGTCTTATGCAGTCTGTTAGTTAAAGATAAACCAAGAGTCAGGTCAGTTTCTGAGGAAACTCTTACTCAGTATCCAAAATCAGGAAACAACACTTTTAATTGGAAAACCACTGTTAAGGAGAGGGAAAAAAATGATCCCAGAATGTTGCTTTCCAAAAACTGAAATTTCTGAGATCTTGCCAAGCAGCAATAACTCTCTATAGATGTCTTGGATTTCTTTAGGGTGAATGATACTAAATGAAGTAAAGAATGCTACTGTTCTTTTGTTTATAGACTGTATTCTCTAAAAAGCTTTTTGTTTTCTTCTTTTTAACTTAGGCAGCTTATGGCTAATGAACCACTGGAAAAATTGGGATTTAAAGACCTGATAAATGAGAAATCAGAAGAAAAACCTGAAAAGTTGTGATGAAGACAGACAACTTTGCTCCTCATGTATGGAATGCATAACTCTAAATGTAGTACATATTGTACCTCCTATTCATATTGCAGTAGGAAATGTTTCCTAAAGGAACATTTTTTCCAGAGTTTAATTTTCCTAAAATAAGAGGTTTTTTTAAATGAGCAAAAGTACTGCCTTTGTCTGCTTTGCTCAAGTATTTCTTAACTTCTTTCTTTTAATTTCTCTAGAGGGAAAACAGTTACTGCCTGAAGTGTTCTCCATGTCTCTGTAAGAACAGTGAAGTCTTATTTTAAAAGGACAAAACTCCCAAACCAAACAACCCTTTATTGTGTAGATCTTGAATTACTGATTAATCTTGTGTGGGCAGTACTAATATGCTCACAGGAGTTGCTTGTTAGGTGGAAATAAAGCTGTTGTGGTACTTGCAAATTGCTTTTCATTAAATACTGGTATTAGTGCCCATCTTTGGGGTGATCTCCTTCTCACCCTGCTATGGAAGACACTTGAGGTGGGTGGTTTTTTTTCAGTCTTAAAATCTTCCATCCTTGTCAGGAGAGTATTTCTAGTTCCAGACACCAGTCAGGTGGTGATTCTACTTTTAGTTACCATGCCAGCAGTGTTCACCTAACTTCATTTCATCATTTAACTAGGAATGTTTCATTCTGAATACATTCACTTATCCAAATAGAGCTGCCATATGTTTTGGGGTTTTATTATCTTAATGGTGAAATCAGTGTGGAGACAGAAATGGTGTTTATTTGTGCTCTGAGTTAGCAAATATACATAATGTGATTGGACAATTTTTATTCTTTTAAAATCAAATGTTTTATATAAAAACCAGGGTAGATCAGGAGTTAGCTGTCTAAGAAATCCAGTGTTTCTTCCAACACATGTAGCTGCAGCCCATACATTGAGAAGGCCATGCAGCAGGTGAGAAATCAGCTCTGAGTGTGTCTTTAAGATCCCTGCTATGTGTTTGTATAATTTAACCATGAATTACCAAAGCCATTCTCTTGCATGTAGTAATGCAGTTGAGTCTTTCTTAATTAATGTTGAGTTCAGGCAGAAATAGTTTGGCCTGTTAGCCCCTTAGAAATGTGTTTCAAGCAGGCAATAAATTTGTAAATCCTTTGGATGTATTTTCTACTGTATTTTCTGCCCTGTCACCCCTGTTCTTTTGTTTTTGTTTTTAACCCAGTGACTCATTTCTCTGCCTATCTGGTTCTTGAATGTTAAGCTTTAGGGTCAGGGCCTGCAGACAGTGATACAAACAGTGATCTGTTTGTCAAGGCAATTCTCCAACACTTTCCTCTTTATTTGGTGTCCTCTCTTTGATATATCTCCCCTTCCCTGCTGTCTGCTTTTGCTTCTGCTTCTCTCCACTGTGCATCTGCTCACACTGAGTTTCAGGAAAGGGTGGAAGAACATTTTCTGCTTTTCATATTGATCATTGGAGCTGAGATTTAAATTGTTGCTCAGGTCTAATCTGATGGAACAGAGTGCACACAGCTCAGAGCTGGTTCCTGTTTGAAAAGAACATTCGCCTGCTGCTGCATATTTTTATTCTACTTCATTCTACTGTTCAAATTATATCCTTTGGTGAGATTAGTACATTTATAGAAAAGAAAGCAGAGATTGTATTTCTGCACCAGATATTAAAAGACTTTATATTAAACCACTGAACAAGAGCTTTCTTTCAGTGATACCAAGTTAGAATTAAAATAATCTCCAGCATCTGCAGAAGAAAGAAATCAAATTTCATGCTTCTGTGCTCCTTGAATATTATAAGGTGAAGTGAATTCCTGGTAGGTGTGAAAGAACCCACCAGTGGTGGGGGAGTAATCTGGGCTGTTATCAATGCTAGTTTCAATTTTTGGGTGTTAGTCTGCACTGTGGTTTGGCCAAACAGTTCCTTCACGAGTTCAGTCCATGTTTTCCTGAGATATTGATACCAGCTCTGTCCTCTGCAATGTTCTAGAGTAAAAGGGGTAAAGTTTTTGAGGTGTTGAGTGGTTGCCACTCTAAAAGGGACCACGGGGGTGAGAGGTTTGCACCTTTCACCAACCCTAAGATCACATCTTCATCCTGTCCAGATCCATAGGCACCTTTCATTCTGCTTCCCAGCACTGTGAGTCAGCTGCACAGCCCTGTCCCCTCATGCCAGGGTGAGAAAAGAGCTGTGAGTGGATAGCTGAAAACTTGGGGAATTGGCAGAAGCACATATTTCCTGTAAGGATTAGCTGGAGAAGAGAACATGTTCAGTGGAGCTGTAAGGTAAGCTCAGAGCTGGTGAGGGACATCAGACAGTGAGATCTAATGCAACTGAGATGTGGTGGGAAAAAAAGCCATTAATCAGTGCCAAACCTGGGTCAAACAGTTTTCCCAACTTGCTCTATGGGACAAGCCCCTGCGACACCAGAGTCATCAGGGAGAATTCCCAGAATGTTCTTCAATTAGCTCCTGCCAACATACAGATCATTAGTTAAAGCCTCTCCATTTAAAACCTCTTTATTTTAGCTTTGCTTGTGGTATCCAGGTGTGTGCTCCTTTAAAATGAAAGCCAAAGGAAAGCTGTAAATTCACAACCATCTTTCCTGTGCCCATACCAAGGAGAAACCTCTCCAGAAGCCTGTCACCAAGCTGGGAAAAAAATCTGTATTCTGGAAACGCTGAGCTGAGGTGTGTGTGCTACAGGGGAGGCAGTTTGTCAGGGGCACTGCTTCCTTCGTGGAGCTGTTTGGAGTTGATGAGCTGCTCTGCTGCGGGAGTGGTCCCACGCAAGTGCATTAATCTTCCTGTGAGAATCCTGTCAGGTGCTGCCTGAGCTGCTGAAAAGCTCCACCTGCTGACGGATCCCGTGAGCTGGAGACAGGCAAATGACTGGGAAATGAGGTTGGGCTGGGATTGATGCACGGACTGCCAGCCTGGATGTGCAGATGTGGAAGGGATAGCCCGAAGCAGGAGGAAGTGTTGACTGTGTTGGAGCGAAGATCTATTTGAGCTGTTACCGCAGCAATAGAATCAATAAGTGAGGGGGCTGTAATTGTCTTTTCCGTAGCTTTCCTTCAGCAGACCCTCATTCCCACCCTAAGGAGGCACTCTGCTGCTTGGGATCAGTCCCAGGGAGTCCCCGGAGGGCCCTGGAACAGCAGAGCTTTGCTGTTGGCACTGGGGAGAACCTTGCCCATGCATTCCCCCTTTCTTTGCTCATATTAAAATCCACTCAACCACAAAGAGCTTAACCTTGATCACTGCAGTTATTTACAGAGGGAACATTGCTGCAAGCCAACCCTCGTTATGTCTTCCTGGGAGACCTTGAGCTCTAGGTGTATCTCTCCAAACAACTGCAGTGACCTGCAGAACAAGGAAGAAAGGGTGTAATAAACATTTCCAAAGCTCTGGGTGTGCTTTCACAGAAAATCCTACACAAAGAGAGCCTCCTGTGCTTGCTCTGGAAGTGGGCCATGGTCCAAAGTCCTTTGTGGGAGCACAATGAGCCCGTGCCTCTGTGCTGAGGAGGGATTGTTGCTCCATCTGCCACCTGGAATGGCATACCTGGTGTAGCAGAAGGGTTGCATCTGTCAGCACCTGTGAAGTGAATATTTGGGGTTGTGCACAGTTAGAGGCAGGCAGTGGGTGTAGCTGCTGACCTTCACGTTTGGCCCTTTTCCAAGGCCTTCTCCCCAGTTTGTCCTGCCTGCTTCAAATCCAAGGAGTTCCTTGTGCCTGGGCATTACACTTATGTCTAGTAGTCATCCACTTGGTTTCCTTTGGAGACCATGGAGTTGCTGGCCTTTGCTGATGATTAGTTGCCCTTTGGGGCAGCAATCAAAACAGCTTTCCCTTACTGCTGCTTTTGTGGTTTTGGCTTAACCAGCACTAACAGTGAGTGAGGGGTAACTAGAGTTAAAGCAACTCTTAAATTTCACCTTGTTGTCTCATTCCAAGCAGGCCTGAAGAGCACTGAGAGGCAACACTATTTTCACTGAGCCTCTGGAATGAAACGTATGTTGTGTGAGGCTATGAGAGAAGGAGCAGCCTGCTCCCATACAAAAAGTGTCTGTAGCATCACTTGTTGCTGTAGGCTCTCAAAGTGCCTTGGATGTTCTGGTTCCACTGGAGAGCAGTATTTTTCTACATTTCTCATCCGTAATTCCTGGGATGGGAATGATGCTTCTGCTAGAATGCAGGAGTGTGGTCATTTCTGGTAGCATATTCAGTGACCCCAGAGGACTCAGTTGCTTTTGTGCCTGGAGGAGATCCATTCTGGAAGAGATCCTTCTGCTAAACTGGTAATGTTGTGTAAAGCATCAGGTTTCCCACAAAGATCAAAACTCTGACTCAGATTAATTAAAAACCTATTTGCAAGTGCACATGCAAGGGTCCATTTTCCCTTCCAGAGTATTTCAATGAAAATTGGATGTCTGATTAATCTTATCCTGGTTCCCCCCCTTTTTTTTTATTTCCCTTAATGATCCTGCTGCTGTGAATAACTGGCAGTGTTGCATTTTTTTCAGGATGCAGCAGATTTTCTATCTTGCAGATTTTCTAGCTTACAAATTTCAAGACAAAATGCCTTTCTTCTGGAATGAAGGTGCCATATGGCTTGAAATGCATAATTGATCACTGCTCAAAATAGAAGCTTCATCGAAAGTCACCTAGAAGTCCAATGCATGTGTGCAGGGGACTTAATAGACCTTGATGCATTTTTTGTTTCCTGAGACTGATGATGATACAGGGACAGGTTTTTATGGCTCCTCTTAGAGGTTCTGATGCTTGTGCTCTCATTATTCCAGGAGATCTTGGGAGTTGCATTAGGAGGTGCATCAATCTTATGCTTGCTGATCCCTGCTGGGCTTGGCTGGATGAAAAACACCCCAGACAAGCCTGGCATTCACCATATAGCCCAACAAAGGCCACAGTTGTATCTGTGAGTGTAAAACAGTTCAGTTGATCAAATCTGGTGGGCTGAATCCAGCCCTTGGTGCCCCATATTTCCCACCTCCAGTGGGATGCCTCCACAAGCAGCCTGTCCCAGCTCCCACACAGAGTGAGGTAGGTTCCTACTGATGTGGGAGGGATGTTGGGGGTCCATCTGGCTGTGTGCCCTGCTTCCTGGTAATGAGCAACACCTTAGACCACCCAGTATTGTGGATGCTTTTCTGTTCTGGTCCTTATGAATTATGGCAAACTCTGATAGGAAGAGTGGTGGGAAGTTGCCTTGAAAAAAGAGAGCAGAGCAGGAAAGAAAGCGAGGAGACTACCCAGAATGATCCAGGCTTTTCAATTCACCTTGATAGGTTTAAAAAGCGGGCAGTGGAGGTGCTTCTGCAGCCCCTTTGGGCAACTGAGTCCTTTGTCTATTTTAGTAACCTTCAAGGAGCTGACAGCTCTGATTTCTGGAGGATTTCTAGTTTTCTCACTGCTAGCAAGTCCTGCTCAGCAAGAACCTGCTCACACACCCAGTTCTGCTCCTGCTTGCAGAGCTGCTAATCAAGGATAGCACGTGGGAAGGCAGCCACATGGGAGGGGGTGCTCTGTGAGGGAGTCAGGCCCGGTTTTGTTTGCTCAATTTACATTTCTCTGTTATTAAATCATGTTCTGGGTTTCAGCAGGGTTTGTAAGCACTGAATCTCTCCTTAGTGGACAAAGTAGGAGAATGATAGCACTACAGAATCTGGGACACCAGGATAGCCCTGAGGATTTGATGTGATGCTGTGTGCTGCAGCCATCTGCTGCCAATCTACCAAGGACCTTTCCCCTCCGGGTTGCACTGGCAGCCCCAGGTAGCATGGCTGGATGGATGGTCCAAAGCATTTCATCACACTGAGGAAGCCAGTTTTGGGGCAGGCAGACTCAAAGGGGAAAAGAAATCCTGCTGCCACTCAGGATTGCAGAGAAGCTGCGGATCAGATCAGTGCTGAGAAAATTGCTGGTAACTCAGGATGCCAAACTAGGCAGGAGCAAAGCCCCCCAGTGATAAATGAGCCTTCACTGCCCCATGAACAAGCACCAAGCAGGAAATCCCAGGGGTGTAATGAGGCTGGCTGCTTGCAGCTCTGGGATTGCCTCCCTTGGCTTTTGCTCTTTAGTGTGGAGATGGGAGTTAGGCTGTGCTGTAAACCCCTGGATGTAGCAGGTTGTCTTTAACCCCTCGTCCTCATCACCCATCACTGTGGCCCAGCCCATAGGGAGCACACACTCCAGGGTGTGCCTGTTGTTTGGCACATCTCTGTGCATGCTCAGAGTGGTTGCTAAGGCAGCATAAGTCTGTCCCCTTTCTCTGTGCCTTCAAATGTCTGTCTGATCTAGAGGTATAGTTGTACTGTGTCAGTGCAGCCCCATCCCAGAGCAGTATCCATATGGGAGAGCAGAGGCAATGCCACGGGTCAGGTGTTAACAGTCTGTGTGCACAGACATCAGTGTGAGTGGTACAGGAGAGTGGAGTGTGGGCTTCAGTTTAGTTCTCCCCCTCCCCAAACTGTGCTGCAGAGTCTGGTGGGAAAGAGGAACTATCCACTGCCACCTACAATGACACAGCATGGAGGTGAACAACCTGACAGGAGATGCATCCTGAGCTCTGTGTGAGAGATGCTCAGCATGTGCAAGGGCAGCACAGAGATGTTACAGGAACCAGGTCACTGCAGGGCTCTGGTGACAGGAGGTGTGTGAGTTCTGGTCAAAGGGACAGAGATACTGAGTTCACTGGCTGGTGAAAAAGAACCAGGTAGGTGAAAAATGAGAGCGTGTCTGGAACATCTCCCTCCATCCTTCCAGCATGCATGGCAGGAGACTTGCAGGTGTGGTGGTGCCAGCCAGAAGGACTCATTTGAACACAGAGATGTCTGGATTGATGGCTTTATTTCAGCTTATTTTAGCAAGTAATAGGCAGGGGGGGTGATGTTTATCACTGAAACTGGAGCTGGCTGTACTTTAGATCACAGCTCTAATCGGTTAGACTGACTTGGACAGTAAATCACTTCAGCAGCACTAATAACACAGAGTGACAGGTGTACTAAACCCTCTATTGCAGCAATAACCTGGTCCTGCTGGTTCTTTCACTCGGGTTAGTGCTTCTGCTGTGGTTTGTTTATTAAAGCTCCTTCACAAAAGTCACCTGGGTGGCTGCTCTGACTCAGCCATTGAAATGGCTGTTCTCCTGCCATTCCCCAACCTGGCTTCGGCTCTTTTTATAGCCTGCTATAAAATTGTTTATTTTTGCACCTGTTTAGAAAGGCTTTTTGGCCACAGGGGTCTCATGATGTTGTTTTCATGGCTTCTGGAGCAGGGCTGCTCTGTTGTTGCTAGAAATAATTGCTGTTAATTAATTCTTTGCTGATTTTTCTTTGGCAAAGCATACTGAAATAAGCAGAGAAGTGAGCAGCATGCTCTGTGTCTTGATGTTGTGGGAGCTTTTAGGAGGCATGCAGTGACATCCAAACAATCCCATCAGCAGCCAGAGGAAGAGTAGGACACAGTCCTCAACTTTCTGTGGACAAAGTTAATTGGGGGGAGGCTGAATTACCATCTCCAGCTGTTTGGCAGCTTCCTTCAAGCCATAATTTTTAATCTCTTTCTAGAGAAAAACCACAGCCTTGTTTCCATCTAATGCTTTATTCAAATCACAGTTGAGCAATGTTACAGAAAATTATGTGGTCTCAGCTCTCTGAGCTGGACCAGCAGCTGAAGGCAGCAGCCTATGACAAGAGACTGACTGCAGGGGCCAATAACTGCACCATTTTCTTTTCTGTGCCCTTTTAAAATGGTTTGTTCTTTTTTTTCTGAAGGACTTTCAGACCAGAAATGAAGTGCTGGGCTTCAGCCCCTCTGACCTGTGGTCATGCCTGTATCATCTCCATCATTCTCTTTGCACTGGGCTCCTGGCAGGATCAGCCACTGCTTCCCAGGAACCCAGAGCTGGCAGCAGCTGGCTGGGCCACTTCTGTCCCCACCCTGGAATGGGGACATCATGCAGCCCTGTCTCTTGCTTGAATGTCTCCAAGCTGTTCCTGGAAGAATGAGCCATTTGAGCCAGGAAGAGATTAAATTATTGGAATTGAGCAAAAGCAATTTCCATGGTAAGTGCTTGCCCTGTGGTTGGCACACCGAACCTGTCCCGCCGTGCCTCTGACTCAGACTGAGTTGATGACGTCCTGCTCTGAATAATCACTTTGACTTTTCTTGGAGGAGCTGATACCCTGACATATGAGTGTCTTCACACATATGTTGGCTTTCTCCATACTGAGATTTCACAGGCCTAAATCTTTTAATTAGGATAGGTGGGGAATAAGGCTCAAAGCAGTGGTCTACCAGTGACATAGTTGAATTATTGATTTCATTGGCCTAATTTCATCTTCTCTGAGAGCATTAGGCCATAGAAATCAGCACAGCTCCAGACAGGTGCCTCATAGCTGCCACGGAGCCAATTCCCTCAGCTGTCCCCTCCATGTCATCTTTTACATCATATGAAATGGGTTTGGTACAACAGCAACATGACTGTTACAGAGCTGTTTTTCCTGTGTTGACATTTCCCCATGTGCTGTGGAGCAGACATACAAATATCCAACATCTTCAATCTATCAATTACCCCCTTTCTCTCTCAGAGGTCTCTTGGCTCCCAACAACACTGTCTGAGCAATTAAGCAGCCCCTGCAACCACATACCAACTCCCAAAGCAGCCCATTGCTGCAGTGAGCTGGCCAGAGGCAGGCAGAATGGAAGCTGAAAGGATATCCTGAGCACGTGACGGGCTGGTGATCGGAGAACTTTCCTTTTTGTTGGCAGTGTGGCTGTGAGAGATCAATGATCAGCTCTAGGGTGTTGCAGAAACCTAAAACAAAGGTGTTTAAAGAAATCAGCAGAGATTTTACTCTGAACCCCCTTCTTGTCCTCATTCTCCCCGTTTCTGCTGCCTTACAGAGGATCTCTGTGTGCATGATGTTACCTCCACGACTATTAAATCACCAGAACAAAGGACTCCCCATCTTTCACACTGGTAACACTGGGCTGCAACAGAGTTAACCACTATGCAAATGGAATGAAACCCTGACCTGCAAAACACTCTGCAGTGAGGTACTTTTAGAGCTGCACCACACTTTGTCTTCTCTGAGGGCTGGTGCAGGTGCAGAGCAGCTCTGCAGACACAGGACTTCACTGTTATTTCTGCACCCTCACATCACTTTCTCTTCAATTTGACCGACACATCCTAACCATGCAGATGCAATGAATGTGCTTTACCCTGTTCCACAGAAGAACAATCCCACAGGATCCACACAGCAATTTGCTCAAAATCAGAGAAAGTTGGCATCAGTATTGGATTTTCAGTTCAAGAGTTTTTAATTCCCCTGATCTGAGCCCTCTCCTCTGTGGCATTCCTCCCTCTCAGCTGTCGCCACTCTTGATTTAACTGGATAACCCAGAAAACAAGATATATAATTTTTTAAAGAAAAACCTCTAGGATTTAAGTTTCTTCCTTTTTTTTTTCCTTTTCCTTTTTTTGTTTTGAACAGGAAACCAAAACTGCAACGGAAATGAGCTGCTGTAGCATAGGTGCAGCTGGCCAGTGCTGTAGCTTGTTCACACAAACCTCCAGCTGCAAAAGCTGCCTCCCCTGTGGTGCTGAGGAAGCCTAAAGGATCCAGCCTGGTGTATCTGCTACTCCAGAGTTTTGCTTGAATGCAGTTGCAGTGGCATGAATTATTGATATCTCTGTTCAGGTTTGCTGTTCACGCAGGAATCTGTAATGCTTCCCCACCTTACGCTGTGAATGCGCTCCCGGGTCACATAAAGGGTTGTGTTTAACACCCTTTCACTTGCATGGTTGTGACATTGATCTAGCCATTTCAGGGCCAGGGCTGCAAAATTAACTAAAAAACCAGTGTAAAGAGCTCTTTCCTGACAAAACAAGGCAGTCTTGGGGTAAAGGGAGCTAATGTGGAAGGGCAAGGAGAAGGTATGGTTATGTCTGTCCATTATCAGGGTGTCACCACAAAGATGATGGAAAGGTTTCCTGAAATTTCTGAGCATTCTTTGCCCTGACCTCAGTATCTGGCATTTCCAGAGGCTGCCCTTGCTGCCACTGTGCTTACCACCTCAAGAGATCCCATTAATAACGTCCGTTTCTAAGGCAACAACCTTGTGATTTAGAAAAGACTGAGTTAAAAGTGTGTGTGTTTACAAACAAACACATCTTACACATAAATATGTAAGTATTTACATACATATGTATATAAATTTATATCAGACCTACAAGTCACTTAGCAGTGGAGAGACAGAAAGCACCTGAATGATGGTGATGAGCTGACAGTGACAACGCATCTCCAGAGAGTTTGGCCAGAGACTTTGCAAGAAGTAGGAGCAAATTCATTTAGCATTCCCTGACAGGCCATACCCACGGGCAACTGTGGGGCAAAGCTCAGAGGAGGTGTTGACTCCTGTGGGTAGAGGCAGGAGGGAACAGTCTGACGTGGACAAGGCTCAGCAGCCTCTGGGAGCCTCTGACGGGGCAAACTTCGCCCTTTAACCCTTGTGAGACTATAAACTCGGATGCTGTCCCTGCTCTACACCAGGAATCACAGTCCTTAGGAGCCAATGTCCCATCCAGAGAGCCTCACTGCCTGCCCTGGATCAACACTGAGACAATACCCAACCTCTTAACCTTGGATAAACCAGGAGTAAATTTACAGAGGTACTCTTTTATATGTGAGATTGGTTGAAGCCTTTGATTTTCCACTGAACAAAAGTTTATCTTTGATTCTGGCTCATTAAGTTCCAACTTTTCTCCCTGTCTCTCCATGTTCCCTCCACCCATATGGGTTGTTTGTTTCCCCATGTGAAGTCTGGAGTCAGTCTGATGAGACTTAAATTCTGAGGATGCTGCTGATTGACCCTCGCTGGCCCTGCTCTCCTGCTCTGTCCATCCTTTATGAAATGCTCCCCTTTCATCATTGACAACAGGCTCTGTTTTATTTGATTTTATTACAAGATATAAATTTCTGTCTGCAGCCCTGGCTTCCAACACACGGAGGAGAGAGAGGGATTGCCTAGCAACCAGGAGAACAAAAAATTAAGAGAATCAATAAGTCTTAATGGAAAGCTAAACAGCGACTTTCAAACCAAACCCCCTCCCTCCTCCAAACCCCAGCCCGTGGTAAGTTCGTGATGCAGCATCCTGGCTATCACATGAAGCCTTCAGCAAGTGCCTCTCCTGGAAAAACCAGAGTGCAAATGAAAACCTGACCTAACTTGAGCTTAGGGAAAGCTCTGATCCTGTAAGCATTTACACTTCAAGCTTGAGTATATCACAGGTGTGGAGGATAAGGGCTAAGATAATGTGCTGAGCTGGTTTGTCTCAGAGGATGTTAGAAGTCAGTGCTCTGCTCTAGGTAGGTATTAGTGACTCAGAGGCTGAAGAAGGTGAGGGTCTGGATACAGTAGCTCAATTTGCCCACCAAAGGCCTGTGTGTGGGATTGTGCCTTTGGTTAGCACGGGAATGAGTTTCCAGATGTTATCAGCCTATGTGTGTAAAACCAGCAAACCCAGCAGAGTCAGCAAGGAACAGTCCGATATCAGTTTAAAGCAGTCAGAAATCAGCCTGGTTACAGTTGCTTGTCTGGCAGCACAAATGCAAAGGTCATTTAGAAAAACATATTCTAGGCAAGTGGGGCAAACATAAATATACCAGGCCCTGATTCTATCCGTATTTAAGAGTGTTACGCTATTTCCTCCCACAAAGTGTCCTCTGGAACCTGCTCACATCTGGAGCGGGATCAAGATGGTGATTTGGTTGTGGAAGTCTTCCAGGATATACTGGCAGGCTCCTCCTGCAGATGCTCCTGCACACCCTGAACCTCATGGGCAGCATGAACGACATGAGCTGAGCTTGCAGGAGGGCTCTGCTTTGTTGGAGGAAGTCGAGAGCGACAGCTTGAGTGGGGGATTTGATTTGCAGAACCAAAATTGTTTCTATAAGCAGAGATGTATGAACCACAAACAGGACATATCAGCATTGCAGGTGACCCATATCTGAGAGGAAGGTTTCAGCAGGAGTTTGGGCAGCAGCCTCAAGACACAGCTCCGAACCTCTCCTTGGCCAAAGGCTTCCCAAGTCGCCACCCACGGTCACCCCCTAGTCCTTAGCTGGTAAAACAAGGACAGGAGCCTTGCCTGTTGGTGACATGACATGCATGAGGGGCTGCAGCCCTGGGTCCCAGCAACACAGACATGATGACACAAGGAAGCTGTTGTTATTCCCCAGGGGTGTTTTCTGTCCTGATACTCCCTTGACACCATGGAGGGTGTGAAAAGCGTGGGAAGATGCTTGGAGGAGGGTCCTGCCAAGACACAGACGTGGAAGGTGGTGGTGATGTGTGGAAGGACAGCAGTGAAGGAGGAGTGTTTTGGAGCGTGTGTGGCTACTAGCGAGATGTTCACAAGTACCCCCAAAAGATGCTGATGTTGAAAACGCTCCCCAAAAGTGCTGCCCGTGAACCTGCCAAGGTGCTTGAGTGGTGAGGCCATGGCCAGTGAGGGGTGGGGGATGCTGTGAGCTGCCACCTCCCCCAGGCAAAGACCCCCGGCACCCACCTCCCCCTTCCCCGCCAGCTCCCACCCCGTGAGCGAGAGCATCCCCTCCCGTCACCGTCACCCCCAGTTAAACCAGGGAAGGGACCACTCAGTGCTGGGGACACCCGGAGGGATGGGACGCCCTGAAGCTCAGGGATCCCCCCCAGGGGGGAACGGGGCGCCCGGGCCACAAGCAGCCGCTGGAGGTCGCGGGCGAGCGGCGCGGGGGAGCCACCAGCCCCCAGGGGCCCGGCGAGAAGGCGGAACCGGCGGCGTGCCCGGCCGGGCGGCCCCGGCAGCGGCGGGGCCAGAGGCTCCCAGGGCAGCGGCAGCACCGCCCCGGCAGCGGCGCGTCCCGGCGGCCGGAGAGGCGCGTTCAGCGTGCGGGGCCGAATGGAGCCGCCCGGGCGCCGCCCGCCTCGCCAGCGCCCCCCGCCCGCACCATGAGGCTGCGGTAGCGCGGCGGAGCGAGCGGAGCCCCGCGGAGCCGCCCGCCGCCCCCATGGCGAAGGAGAGGAGCAGGAAGGCGCTGGTGGAGCTGCTCCAGCGGCCGGGGAACGCGGCGTGCGCCGACTGCGCCGCCCCGGGTAAGGGCAGGGCAGGGCAAGGGGAGGAGAGGCGGGGGGCGCGGGCGGCGGCCGCACCTGCACCTGTCCGCCCCGCACGGCCCCGCACAGCCCCGCACAGCACGGCACAGAACGGCACAGCACCGCACAGCACCGCGCGGAGGCAGCGACGGCGCGGGGGGCTCTGCCCTCTGCGGGAGCGGCGGGGGTTGCGCCCCGCCGAGGGGGTGCCCGACCCCCCTTCCCCACCCCGGGGGGATGCGGCGGGGATGCTCCGCGGCCGGTGCGGGGATGCGCTGCGCTGCCGCGGTCCCCGCGGGCCGGCCCCGGCCGAGGTTTCCCCGGTCCCCCCCGGCCCGGCCCGGCTCCTCGCCCGGCTGTGAGCGCTGATGTCATCCCGGCGGGTCCCCGCGGGCTGCAGCGCTGCCGGGGCCGGTAGCCGGGCGGCGGGGGCTCTGCCGGGGGTGCCCGGTGCTGCGGGGGCGGCGTGTCCTCCGTGTCCCCTCGGCTGCTACTGCCCTGTCAGCGAGCAAACAGAGCGGACAACCAGAGGCATCGCTGCGGCCACCCTGCCGACCAACCTTTGCCCAGCTGCCATCGATGGGTGCCTAAGCTGTGCAGGGAGCGGGGCTGGAATGTCCGTAGCCGTCTTCGTGCGCAGACGGGAGAAAATCTGGGCTCGGAACGGCTTTCTAGCCCTTTGGATGGTGAATTGTTGGGGTCGGGGTGTGATGCTCTTGCTGAGCAGGGTCTGCACGAGGCGGTGGGACCCGCCTTTGAGAACAACCTTAGAAAAATTGCAGAACAAGTATCTTTCCTTTAAAAAAAAAATCACCGTATAGAAACACCTAAATTTGTATTAGCTTGAACAGGATGGCTCTGAAGAGGTGTACAGAAAGGTTGTCCTTCTCAGCCTATGTCATTCTATAGGTTAAAGAAAACCCAACACTTCAGCTGAATCTTATTTTCCCAGATATTGATTTGCTTAGGATTTCAAGATCTGTTGGATACCCCTATCCAGCTCCTACCATTACCAGTGGTTTTATATCCCTAACCTGCATCTCAGGACACTGCAGTTCACTTTCAGACGTGTTGTCTCCCCCGGTACCCAGCTGGAAAGGACAAAGAACTTTCAGCACAGCGTGAACGGCTTTGCAGCGCCGCGCTGCTCTGCCTGCTCCCACCCATCTGCTGCCTGGTGCTGCTGCCTGACTGTACCAGCCCACCTTTGAGGTGCCTTGCTGAGCACAGCTTGGGCTCACCGAGTAGGCGTCTGCCTAAATTGTTCCTTCCTGGAGAAAACTTTACAAACCTGGGTCTTTACAAACCATTCAGGTCTGTGGGATGATTCTCCCTAGCCCTCTGCAAAATGGGAAGTTTCTCAGCGCTATCAGGGTGGAGATGAGGCTGAAGGACAGTAAAATAGCTCACATCAGGGAAAGAGGGTTGTTGGTAAAGGCTCCAAAAGGGCTTGTAAAACAACAAAACCGTATTTTGCTTTTGGTGATGTTTGCATACAGAGATGTCTTAGTGAATCTGAAACTCAGAGAGGAGAATTTGGGCCAGTGGCTTTTGTAACACAAGATGTGCTATATTAATACCATTCAGCCTCTTCTGAACTCTTGTGGCATTGCTTCCCTGGGACCAGCTCCTTGTTCATCAACCCAATTTCTTT